CACACTACACACAAATATCACTCACTCACTCACTCACACACACACACACACACACACACATTAAACACAAATATCACTCACTCTCTCACACACACACACACACACAAACATAATACACAACTATCACACACACACACACACAAACATTATACACAACTATCACTCTCTCACACACACACACACACACACACACACAAACATTATACACAACTATCACACACACACACACACACACACACACACACACATTATACACAACTATCACACACACACACCTTGAGATGGAGCTTCTGCAGGATGCGGGTCAGTAATCTGGAGAATTTGCTGTTGTCGATGGAGTTGATGTGAGTGACGGCTGCTTTAATGCTGCAGAACACACACACACACACACACACACACACACACACACACACACAGCACACACACACACACACACACACACACACACACACGAGCTGATGATGACTAGAGCTGTGATTATTGATTATTGACAGATGTTATTGAGGTGGCGTGTTTGACTGTGCCTCAGTCTCCCCATCAGCACACACACACACACTGTCAGCGCACTTTACCTCGGTGTTTCCGGGATTATGGAGCTCATCTTCTCTTCGGTAGGTCCGTTTGTTTTATTTTCGTGTCCAGAAACAGTCACTTCCTACCGCTCAGTCATATGACGCGTGACGCCAGCACGTCGCCCCGCCCTCCGTACAGCGTAATAACGGTAAATATGTGCGACGCAAATGTTAAAATACGAAAAAATAAACAGATTATAGAACTTGACGAGCAAATAGTTCCCATGGCCATCGCATTTCCTGCCTATTTTTGGCGCGCTGAAGCTGGCAGCGGGAAAACCGAGCGGAGTTCACCTCATTCAGACAGAAAACAGGAGGAGGAGTACACAAGTGTGCTGTATCACTGGATAAACTACTGTACTGGAACACCGCCACATTAAGCTATTATTCGATAAAGAGTCGTTTGTTTGTCTGTATGTTCCGCCTCAGGACTCAACTAGATAACAGAGTTAACTGAGCTTTCATGCACATGAGGGATATAAAACCTGCACTGCTACTATTCCTGATATAAGTGAAGAGAGGTCTGTGTTAGAGTAACAGCACTATTTACACTTCAGACATAAGAATAGAGTATTGGCTATCGAGATCTACACTCACCAGCCACTTTATTAGGTACACCTCTCCATCTGTTAACGCAAATTTGTAATCAGCCAATCACATGGCAGCAGCTCACTGCATTTAGGCATGTAGACATGGTCAAGAGGATCTGCTGCAGGTCAGAGTGAGCATCAGAATGGGGAAGAAAGGGGATTTAAGAGACTTCCAACAGGGCCATGCATGGCTGTTGCTGCCAGACGGGCTGCTCTGAGTATTTCAGTGGGCGCAAATGCCTTGTTGAAGAGGCCAGAGGTCAGAGGAGAATGGCCAGACTGGTTCCAGCTGATAGAAAGGCAACAGTAACTCAAATAAGCACTCGTCACAACCGAGCTCTCCAGAAGAGCATCTCTGAACACACAACACGGCCAACCTTGAGGCGGATGGGCTACAGCAGCAGAAGAGCACACCGGGTGCCGCTCCTGTCAGCTAAGAACAGGAAACTGAGGCTACAATTCACACAGACTCACCAAAACTGGACAATAGAAGATTGGAGAAACGTTGCTGCTCTGATGAGTCTCCATTTCTGCTCACACATTCAGATGCTCGGCTCAGACAACATGAAAGCATGGATCATCCTGCCTTGTATCAGCGGTTCAGGCTGGTGGTGGTGGTGTAATGGTGTGGGGGAGATTTTCTTTGGGTCCATTAGTACCAATTGAGCATCA